AATAAATTATAGTAATGGAGTTAGTAAAGTTAGTATAGGAAAGTTTTCCCCAAAACTTTGTCTTCAAAATAAGGGTGCGTCTTATATTCCGAAAAATATCGTAACTATGGTATGAGCAACAGCCATTTCTTTATAGCGGAATACAATGTTTAGTAAAAGTATTCTCCTTATAACGATAACACGAATTTCAGTTGAACTGTACGTGAGGATTTGATTATATCTTTATTGGTGCAATTTTTAAATGTAGTGCTAAAAACTGGAGTTCTTAAAAAATGATGCAATGAGATACATATGATTAAAGAACGTAATCCGAACAGTTTTCACGTGCAGTACTTTCCAGAAAATATTTTTTTTTAGAAAATGTTCACTTTTTACAATTTTTTACAATGAGGTATGAACGCTACCATTACTAATCAGTAGCGCAAACAGCCGCTCGTGGGTCGGCGTTTCTGCTAGTCTATAATAACAACAATCGGTGTTTGTTTGTCTGTCTGTACTTAAAATGCGCACGCACATTACTATCTAAATGCGCATGCGCACGCACTTCTTTTCGACGAATGTAATTTGTAAACAAAAGGTAGATTATTTTCGTCGAAATGACGAACTGAGCAAGACAGTCTTATTAAGGAATTTACTCACTGTGTATATGCTTTTTTAGCGTCATCTAGTGTAGGATATTAAAACTATAAGATTTTTTTATGTTATTATAAAACAGAAACACGTACCATTATCGCCCCCTTAAGCTACTAATTAGATCATTAACGAACTTTTCTTTATAAATTAACTATTAAACAATTCAAAAGTTTGAAGATCACAATGATAAGTGAATTTATTAAAAAAAAAAAACGTTTATGAAGCTGTGTGAAAAAAGCGTTCTTCCCAACAAGAGCTACCTCACCACATGTTTTCCGCGCTATATTGTAGATGGCGCAAGAATTTGAAGATTAATTATAATAATCTGATTTAACAGAAATATAGTTAATATAGATGACAGACGAGTTTGAAACGTAGTTAATACAGTGCTAAGTGTGATTTTTGTACAAACGCTATTTAAGTAGATGAAATGTTTTGTTTTGTTTCTCTTCCAGACGTGTATTAATTTATATGTTTCCATACAACATCCTCCATTTTGTTTCGGACGTTTTCCTCTCCTCCTTGATGTCAGTCCTAGTTGGAGTGATTTATTGGAAAGTTAGAGGTGGACTCGAACAAGAGTTCGTGCTGGACAGGATCGGTGTATATTACGTCATAATGGGCGTAGCTTTGCTGCCAATGATGTTGAACTACGTTACGGATGGTGAGCTTTATAATGATGTTAGCGGAACAGTAATTTAGATGATTTCTCAGAGTTGACCGAGCGATACGTTTTTGGGTCCTTTTCTATAAAGCTATTTATCTTAAGTAAATGAATTGTACTACTTAATTACATTTAGATCGTGAATATAAAAAAACGACAACTTGTTATTCAAATATTAAACTGGATATAACATTTAATTATTTTAATAATCTACCACTAGATGTCACTTTAAATTTGTTTTTGTTAGTTGTTAAGCACAAATTTATACAAATATGCTATCTGCATTGTGCTCACCGCGGGATTCCTAATTCGATATTTAGCACTATAAGCTCTCAGATTTGCCGCTCAGCCATCAAGGGTCGGTAGTTTATAAACATAAGATGGCGTCACGTGTGTAATTTATGTTGTTAATCTTCGTTATACACAAACCTATTTCTGTAGTAGTTTTACTCAGGATATCAGTTCACCGTTGGATTATAAAAATGTTTAAATTATGTAATTTGTTTTTGCAAAAAGTTAAACACTTCCACCGTGGGGAATCGATCCCTGGATGTTAGCATTATAAGTCTACAAACTAACCTCTGACCTACTGAGGGAGGGTTATGATGTAAATAACGCTATTATCCAGCTCGGCTTTACTTTCGGAACAAATATTTATATTTTGTGAAATATTTGTGGCGAAACGAAACAACGGTGTTTTTATGAGTGGTTAACCATTTCACACTATTACATTATATGTCAGTCTAGCTTATATCACACTGATTAATTTCACTGATAACGCGCGTGTGTATAATTGTGTATAATGTTTTATTTATATTACTAGTGTGGAGAGATAAAGCCTCAGTGTCACGTGACTTTCGAGATGGGCTGTATTCCCGCTTAGCCTATATTATGTCAAAGGTGGGTTAACTTTAGACATATTGTATTTTAATTCAATAAATATTTATTATATATTTTAACACCTAAGTGTTATAATATACACGAGTTAATCGAACACAAACTGGATAAAGTCTTATTTCTCACAGACCGGATACTGGTTTCTTCATGTAATATAACAACCATTATAAAAAACATTCTGTAAATGTAAAATGATGTAGGGATGGCAGTACCAAAAATAAGACAAACAATAATATAGAGACGATACAGCTATACATAGATCAATCCTATATGACTTTCAATATTAAATATTCAATATTAAAGTTGACAAACAGTGCCACAATATCTACAGCACCCAACAGGTTGACAACAGT